CAGCGGCAGCGGCACTCTACAAACCGATTGCTGGCCCAGAATCTGTACAGGTCCGCTTGTCCAGAGCTTTCAGCAAGGCTTGCGGACGAGAAGTGCCTGGACGCAGCTTGCTCCAAGTTCGACCAGCTCGTGGCGCGGCTGGAAAGCCAGCGGTCGACCATCATGCACTAGCGGGCAGAGCTGGCGGCACCAGAGACTGAGCACAGAGATCGGGTTCGCACTTTGGCAGAAGAACTTCCTCATCCGACGGTCGTTCCTGCTTCCAGCAAGTTGTCGGTATTGATGACCTTCTCGACGGGACCAAGTTTGCTGCAGCATTCGACGTGGATCCTGGGTCCACGTTCTTGGTCGACACAGGCTGCGAGCTTACCCCTGAAGATCAAGCAGAGCTGTCCGAGCGGGCTGACGCTCCCAAGTGGCATCGACAACACGGCCCAGTCGGTGCTAGCCGATGCCAGGTCCACGGCTGCCGCGCTCAAAGTGGAGCGTGCCGCCCTGGCAGCGCGCCTGGCTGCCAAGAAGAGGCGCACAGGAGCGGAAAGAGAGAGCGAGGCGCCTGGAGGGGCTGGGAATCCTTCGGGCACCGAGGCTGCCGCAGCGGCGGGCGGGGGGGCCGGAGGCCCTCCGGAAGCCCTTGCGTCAGCGGCGCCTTCGGGCCCTGCAGGTCAGCAGGCCTCCTCCTCCTCCTCCTCCTCCTCCTCCTCCTCCTCCTGCTCCTGCTCCTCCTCCTCCTCCTCCTCCTCCTCCTCCTCCTCCTCCTCCTCCTCCTCCTCCTCCTCCTCCTCCTCCTCCTCCTCCCCCCCTCCCATGGAGTAGATCGTGGCTGTTTGTGGCGCCCAGACCGCTCGCGGCAGAGCGGACAGGACTGCAGGCGCGGCTGCGGAAGCCGCCCACCCTTGGCGTGCAGTCGCTGGCGGTGGGCTCTCAGCTTGTCTTGGGCCAGGGCGTCTCGGTCCGTGATGTCCTGGTCGGGTCTTGGGGGCCCGCTTGGGTTTTCGCGCTTGCAGGGGCAGAAGGGAGCCCCAGCCATCGTTTGCAGTCCTCCCTCGCACCGGTCGGCTGGCCAGGCTGTCATCTCCCAGTCCACTGGTCCGGTAGTGCGTTGGCACGGGAGGGGCCTCCTTCTGCTGTTCGCCCAGCGCGCAGGATTTTGCATTCAGCAGCGTCTCCCTCGGCTTCGATGGCCCTCGCTTCTTGCCCGCGCTGATGCCGCCTACTCCAGCCTCCGCCGGGGGAGATTGAGGTCGCCAGCGTACTGCAGTGTGTTGCTGGCAGGAGCTTCTATCGCCAGCTGTCTCCAACATGTTTCGCTAGGCCGTCAGCGCACTGCCCAGTCCTTTCTCTCAATGCGGAGGCGGCGCCGTCGCACCGAGCGACCGTGGGCCATCTCCCTCTGCCCGTGCCTTGTGCGCGAGATGTTTCCCGCGCCCGTGTTTTGGTGGCGCGGCCGACAATCGTGGTGCAACATCGGATCCAGCCTCGGGTGAGAAGGTGGCTGGTCCAAGTTGCGGCGGCGCAGCTGACGCGCGCGGGTGGCAGGGGCAAGGGGGTGTTCATCGGCAGCTCGGTCGCACCGACGTCATGGAGTTTGGCGCATGCGAGATGCTTGGCGTCGCGCTGGATGACGGGGGGTGCGATGCCGAGCCCCCCCCCCTCTCCCGCTGCCCCCCCCCCCTCCCGCAAGGCCCAGGGAGTCTGCCGCCGGAGGTCCCCGCGGGCCACACACGTGTTGCAGACGCCAAGAGTCCAGGGAAGAGTCACAGGGACCATGACTAGGATGTCGCGGGATCTTGTCGATGCCGATGTTGGTCATGGTCCACGTCGGCCGTCACCGATTCGCGAGGGTGACTCACCAGAATGGCGCTGACCAAGATCGACAGGGACCAAGATCGACGCGACATTTTCGAGTTCAGTCTTGGTCATGGCCCCCGTTGTCTTCACCGCCAACGAAAAAGACCTGAATCTTCCCAGACTCCCTCGTCACGACGTTTTTTGTGTAGTTTTCTGCCTGGCCCTCGCTGGACCCTGGGATGGTAACGAAAACGAAAATGGACGAAAGGTCCTTGTTGCGAGGAAATCACCGCGTCGGGGGTCGGGGTCTTTCCCCTCAGACAGGACCTCGACAACACTTCGAGGCGCTCTCCATTTCCGGCCTCCGAAAGCGAGCTTCGCGCCTCAGGACTGTCGAACATGATTCGAGATGAAAAACTGCTCCTGGGAAAGGGGTCGAGAGGTCCAGGGGCCTGGGCATCGAAAAGTTGCATCGCCGGATGCCTGGATCCTCCTCCTCCTCCTCCTCCTCCTCCTCCTCCTTTTCCTCCTCCTCCTCCTCCTCCTCCTCCTCCTCTTTCCTCATAGACAACCTTCCCTCCCAACGCTCTGCCTCCTCCTCATCCTCCCTTCTTTTCCACGTCGGCATCCTCCACGGAGATCCGACGGCACGAAAGTTGCAACATCGTACAGAACTCGACCGCAGCCCTGCCCCCCATCTTTCTGCGGCATCTCTCGAGTCGGATCGATCCGTTAGTGCCCCTGGGGCGCGAAACAAGGGAAACTCGCCCGGATCTCAGGGTCGTCAAGGTCGAAGATGCAGTTCGGCCAGACGGCCAAGTACTCGGACAGGCCCATCTCCATGCGGATGTCCTCGGCGCAGACGTGGGAGCAGGCGGTGACGCTCGCCGTGACGCAGCGCCTCGGGCTGGACCACAAGACGCAGGGCGAGTGCCTGGTGCTGGACCCGCACTCGTACAAGCAGACCGAGGAGGTGGAGTACTCGCTGTCGTACCCCGGGCTGAAGACCGTCTACCGCATCCACCAGGTTGCGATGCAGGCGGCCGAAGAGGAAAGAGCTGCCTGACTACACCGCGCTCCGGAAGCTCCGCGCGGAGTTCCTGGATCTGCGCTGGGCCCGCCCTGGCGGCGCCTCTGGCGCCGCGCCCGGCGCGCTCCGCGCGTCAGGGAGGGGAGGGCCCAGCGCCCATCCTCCTCCTCTTCCTCCTCCTTCTCCTCCTCCTCCTCCTCCTCCTCCTTCTCCTCCTCCTCCTGGCTCCGCGCGTCCGCGCTCCGCCTGGAGCCCGGCAGTTTATGTTCGTGCCGCTCTCTCTGACTCCTCTCAGCAGGCAAAGGACATCCAGAAGCTCGGGCAGCTCGGCCTGCCAGAGGGTACGGACTTCGTCGTGATCAGGGAGGCGATGGACAGCATCCGGCCCGGGGAGAGCGTCAAGAACCTGACGCAACAGGCGAGCCGACCAGATACCCCTGCAATGGGGAAGACGTGGTCGATCTCGCACAGAAGATCCTTGAGCGAGGTTCCAGAGGGCCGTCAGTCTCGAAAGGAGGAGAGGATCGTGCTCCGGTTCGGCTGGCAGCAGGCGGACGACTGCGAGAGCTTCGCCCGCGACCTGCCCGCTTTCACACGCAGGGTCACCTCGCGGAAGACCGACAAGGAGTACAAAAGGAACCTCGTGGACGATCCTGTCAGCCAGGTCGGATCGAAGCCCCTCGAGCCCGACCGCAAGCGTCGGGTGCCAGCACCCGTGCCCATCAGCGTGCCCTCCAGGGACTCGTGGAGGTCCTCCCACGCGGTGGCCGAGGTCATGCGGGGCAAAGCCACGGACTGGGCCCGGGCGAAGAGCGCCGCCAAGCGCATCCGGGACCCGGACTACACCGTGGGCATGTTCTTTGACGACTGCAGGGAGGCTCCGAGGGGCTCGACGCACACGCCACGTCGTCGTTCGCTCGGCCCTGGGGCCAAAGGGCTCCATCCAGGAACAGAGAATCATGTGAGCATCATTGCTTGAAGGTCTGCGCGGCTTTGTCGGATCGGCGCTGGAGCCCCCCGGCGGCTCCTCCGGCCGCCGCCTTTGGCCCGCTCCGCTCGCCAAAGAGGGGGGTCCAGCGCCGATCTAAGGAACCCGCGCGGACCTCCTAAAGTTTCTGCTCATGTTGTGTTGTTTGTGCTCCTTCAGTATAGACGCTCCAGCGCCCCACAGCTTGGGGAGCTGGGGCGTCTGGACACGGAGCTGCCTGGCCGACTAAACGACGTGGCGTGTGCATCGAGTCTCTCCCCGAGGCCTTCCCGGAGCTCCAGCTGTACCAGGTCGACAGCGCGACGAGCAGCGGCCGGAGCGGCGACGACGAGTACCAGCGCACCGTCGGGGCGCTCTTCGCGGTCTTCTGGCTCCTGCGCCTGCACCTGGACGGAGGCCAGTCCTTCGCCTACGGCGTGAGCGACAGCTGGCTCGCGCTCTCCAAGGGCTCTCCCGCGCCACGCAGGAGCGCGGCCGAGGTGAAGCAGCGGGAAGCGTTCGCCAACAGCGTGAAGTGGTCGCTGTTCGAGGACGCCCTGGTGTCGGCCGGCCTGCTGAAGGGGCCGCCTGGCGCCAGGGTGCACGACGAGGGGCGGGTGATGGCCATGCTCGTGCTGACCGCGATCCACGACGTTATGAAGGTCGAGGCCCTCCTCCCTACGGTCGACGCCAAGGTGGGGAGCTTCAGCGGCTATCGAAGACGCCCACGGCGAATCACCGCCGCCCCCTGCCTCCTGGAATCGCCCATGTGGCCGAGCGCTGTGGCAAGAGCTCTGCCAAGCCATCGGACCATGTGTTCCCCCAACCGTTGTGGAAACCCTTCGGGGAACACTTGGGGCCGTCTTTGGGCATTCCTGGCCCGTCTGACGCCGTCGGAAGCCGTCTTGGGGCCTCTGGGCCAACTTGGGGCCCTCTTGGGGTGCTCCAGGGCCGTCTCGGAGGCCATCTTGGGCGTCTTCGAGGCCTCTTGGGCCGTCTTGGAGCCCTCTTGGGGCCTCTTGGGGCGTCTTCGGGGCCTCTTGGGCCGTTCTGGGGCCATCTTGGAAGGCCTCGGGGGCGATCTTGCGGCGAGCCTCGGGGGCGATCTTGGGGCGATCTTTGGGGGCTCTTGGGCCGTCTCGGGCCGTCGGACGATCGAAAAGAAGCAAATGTCAAAATCCTTTAAACACCTCAGGAAAAAACATGATTTTGGCACCTTCGGGCCTTCTTGGATGCCCTCTTGGGGGCCTCTGTGGGCCGTCTTGGAGACCTCTTGGAGGCCTCTTGGGCCGTCGTGGGCCATCTTCGAGCCATCTTGGGCCGTCTAGATGACCTCCTGGACCGTCGCATGCCGTCGGAAGCCGTCTTGAGGGCCTCTCTGAGCCGACTTGGGCCCCTCTTGAGGTGCTCCAGGGTTGTTTTGGAAGCCATGTTGGGCGTCTCGGAGGCCTCTTGGGCCGTCTTTGGACCCTCTTGGGACAGTCTTCGGGGCCTCTTGGGGCCGTTCCGGGGCCCTCGTGGAGACCGCTTGGGCGATCTTCGGGCGACCTTTGAGGGCTCTTGAGCCGTCTCGGGCCGTCTGAAGGCCGAGGAGAAGCAAATGCCATAATCTTCCAAACACCGAAGGACAATCAATGATTTGGGCCTCTTCAGGCCTTCCTGTAAGACCTCTTGGAGGCCTCTTGGGCCGTCTTGGAGGCCTCCTGGGGTCCACTTTGCCCGTCTTGGGCCATCTTGATGCTATCTTAGGCCGTCTTGGAGGCCATATTGGCCATCTTGGAGGCCATCCTGGGCCTCTTGGAGTATTGGGCCATCTTGGTGGTCTTGAAAGCCATCTTGAGCCGTCTTGGGAGGATTTGTCTGAGAATTCCGCGCCTTCCGCGGGGCCGGCGGGACGGGCCGCAGCCCCAGGGGGGAGTTCTTTTGGAAAAGAACGAAAACCAGAATCAAGACATCCAGCACGCCATGCACCCCTGTGGCAAGACCACAGGGGGCGGCGGATCGAAGACGCCTACGTCGAATCACCGCCGCCCCCTGCCTTCTAGAATAGTTCATGTGGCCGAGCGTTGTGGCAAGAGCTCTGCCAAGCCATCGGACCATGTGTTCCCCCAACCGTTGTGGAAACCCTTCGGGGAACACTTGGGGGAGGATGGCGGGGAAGATCAGGAGGAGGCGGAGGAGGAGGAGGCGGAGGAGGTTACGTTGGAGGAGGAGGCGGAGGAGGAGGAGGAGGGAGCATCGTGGGAACCTCTTGGGACACGCTTGGGGCCTCCTGGGAGCTTTTTGGGAGCCCCTTGCAGGCATCTTGGGGCCTCTTGGCAGCCGTCTTGGGGCTCTCTCTGGGCCGGCTTGGGGCCCTCTTGGGGTGCTCCAGGGCCGTCTTGGAGGCCATCTTGGGCGTCTTCGAGGCCTCTTGGGGCCGTCTTGGGGCCCTCTTCGGGACGTCTTGGGGGCCTCTTGGGCCGTTCTGGGGCTATCCTGGAGGCCTCTTGGGCGATCTGGGGGCGATCTTGGTGGGCCCCTCGGACCGTCTCGGGCCGTCGGAAGGCCGAAAAGAAGCAAATGCCAAAATTCTTCACAACCCTAAAGAACTTCAATGATTTTGGCCTCTTCGGGGATTCCTGGAGGCCCTCTTGGAGGCCTCTTGGGCCGTCTTGGGCCATCTTAGACCCACCTTGGGCCGTCTTGGCGAGCTCCTGGCCCGTCTGACCCCGTCGGAAGCCGTCTTGGGGGCCTCTGTCTCAGGGACCTCTTGGCCAGTTTTGGGTCTCTCGTGGCTCCGAAGCAGGTTGCAGGTTGCAGTTAAAGGCATTACTTTCCTTCAGTCTGTATACTACTGCCGACGCACCTCTGACGTGCATGGCGCGCTCTCTCGCTCTCTCTTGGCTCCGAAGCAGTCCCGCAGGAGGCGCCGGCGAACCGCGGGAGGCATGCCAGGAGCCCCGGATTTTTTGGGGGAAAGTAGGGCCCGGGCACATAAGTTAGTTCGACTAGACGTAAGAGTGACCTTTCGCCGGAGTGACTTTTCTGGTGCGGGCACAGATGGGTCCGCAGATGGCTGAAAACGAAGCAGTAGCAGCTGCTTGCGCGCCCAGGTTTGGCCCCCCGCGGCCCCCCAAAAAGTCGCGCGCCAAAGGTCACTCTTATCCAGGGTCACTCTTGCGCATAGCCGATTAGTCGCTTCTGAGGACTGAGGACTACAGAGGACTTGGGGACACTCCAACTCGTGCCTCGCGGCGCGGCGGTGGACAAGGCGGGCGAGACGATCAGCGACCACGACCTCGCGCTTGGGTACATACTGGAGCACGTGCCCGAGGCGCTCCCCTCCTACCAGGGGCTGCCCCCGCAGCAGCGGGCCCCCGTGAAGTTCACGCAGTGCAGCATGGAGCCTCCTCCTCCTCCCCCTCCTCCTCCTCTTCCTCCTCCTCCTCCTCCTCCTTCCCCTCCTCCTCCTCTTACGGTGCGGTGATCACACCGCGTGGTCTGAGGGTTCGGGGTCACCGCACGGTTTTGGGACTCGGGTCGTTCTCCGATACTGCCTCGGGCGACCAGGGTTTCCGAGGTCCCCAGGCCGTGCGGTGACGGACCGCGTGGTGAGGCTTGTTGGGATTTCGAGGCCACCTCGCGATCCGTCACCACACGGTGTCCCAGACATGCGACGTCATGTTTTCTCAATGAACGGTCCCCAGGAGTCCCGACCACTTTCCCGGAGCCGGTTTGTCATCGCGGGGCGTTTCGTGACGGCCCGGCCCCGCCCCCCCCAGAGGGCCGAAAAGTGAGAGGAGTTTTCGTGTTTATTTCCAGGATGTTGCACGCCTGGGTCTGGGCCCCCCGAAGGAGTACAACATGGGCTGGCTGGTCCAGGCCGAGGCCCCTCCGGGGCCCCTGTTCGGCAAGTTCAGGCAGGTCATCCTGGCCGGCGGCGCGAGACCAGCCGACATCTCGTTCTACTTCGTGCACTGGCTCACCGACCTGGCGGGCGCGGAGCCGTGCCCGCTGGAGGGCTGCGAGAAGTTCGTGCTGAAGTTTCCGCAGCGGGTCCCTTCGATGCCTGTCCATGGGAGCCCCCGGCGGCGACGCTGGGATCGGCTTCTCCTGCACTTGGGCCGCACTTGGACCGCCTTTGGCCCTGCCTCCCGCTCCTCCGATCCTCCTCGCCCCTCCTGTTTCTCCTCCCCCCTCCTCGTTCCTCCTGTGTGGGAGGACGAATCCGGTCCAAATTTGGTCCACATCGGATCCCGAACGCATTCCAAAGCCGGTCCAGATCAGGCCCAAATCGGACAGCGCCAGGGGCCATATGGGCTCCCGTGGAACAGACACCAAAAAGGTCCTGACATCGTTCCTTGCCTCCTTCGACTACGTGAAGAGGCTGGACTCCCAGACCGAAAGCCAGGTCTTCGAGGCCTCTGGGGGGGAACAGGTACCGACTCCGCTGCTCGTCCTGGATAGCCTTCATCGCCACAGCTGGATTCTCCCCGGAATTCTGGTCAGAACGCGCCCGTTGGAGAGGTTCATTCTTGTTCTTTAAGGACTACTTGCAGTGGCGTTGGCACGACCACAGCGCGCCCAAGAAGGCGGGCAAGGCCTGGGCGGACGAAAGGGCGGGTGAAAAAGGCGGGGGGGGGACAGGCGGGTGTGCATGAAGGAAGAACGAGCGTCCCGCTTCGAAGAGCTACTGCATACACATCGACATAGACCCTCGAAGGTCCGCGCGGATTTCCTGGATCCGCGCTGGGCCCCCTCGGTGGCGCCTCCAGCGCCGGCCTTGGCGCGCTCCGCGCGCCAGGGAGGGCCTCCAGCGCCGATCGAAGCACCCCGCGCGGACCTCCGACCGCTTACCTGTTGGTGTCTCCACCCGCTGCACGCAGATGGCCGGCCGGCCCCGCCGCTGGGCACGGGTCCTCGACCCGTGGCGCGAGCTCCCGGCGCCGGCAGGCGCCCGCCAACCTCGTCAGACCGATTGCAGTCGTGGGGGCCTCTTCTCCAGTGTGGTCGCACTGCTCACTTCGCGTGCGTGTCGCATCGCTGCCGCATGTTCGTCGCGAAGGGGGCCCGCATGCGACACGGACGCGACACGAGCGGCGCAGGACTGCGACCCGAAGGACCGCGACATCAGTGCGGCTTGAGCGGGGCATGAGCGGGGCATGACTGGGGCGATTCGACACCGACTCTCTGGTCCCCGCGTCCCCGCGAGTGATGACGCCAGACTCTCGACCGCCGGAGGAATAGACCATCTTCCCGGCACCAGACTCACAGTCCCGGGGCGCGGCGAGGGCCCCCAGAGACCCAGCACGGCAGCAAAAGCACGTGCCGTGTTTTGTTGTTCAGGACCCGTCGGGGGTGGGCAGACCTCCTACCCTGACACGTCGATTAAGGAATTGGCCGTTTTCGGTTCGCGAGAGGGCGTCGCGGCCGTCATTTTTGCGGGTCCAGGTCCGTCGGTTTCGGTCCCAGGCAGTTTTCACCAAAGGGAGGTTTACTAAAGGGAGATCTGTCCACCGCCGAACCCGCGAGGGTCTGGGTCGAACCCTCGTTCGTGCACCCTGACTAGGCGGCGCCCCAAAGGGGGTGGCACGCCGGGGGGCGGCCTCCCGAGAAAAGGCGGAGGGGCTTCGTAGAAGGCCTGCCGTTGAAGAAGCCCCTTCGCCCTCTCGCAATCAGCGAGCCCGTTAACACAAGACCGCCCCCCTTATGCGACGTCGCGCGCAGTGGACGTCCCAGCTGGTGATGTGCCGTGGCCGTGCCTCTTGCGTCGCACTTTCGGCTCGGGCGGTGCAGCGCTGCATTAGTGCAGCATCAGCATCGGCCTCCACCCCCTTCGATTGGGATTGCGGATCTGCTCGGCGGTCTGTTCGCTTGGCTCGTGGTGCGAACGGCACGCGCGTGAGCAGAGCGGGCCAAATTACATCGAGCCACGCTGGCTTGCCCAGGGCACAAGACAGAAGGCCGCCCCCCCCGCGCCACGCCGTTTGGGAGCGCCGCCCATCGATTCCTTGGCCTCGCGCGGAGGTGTGCAGGTTGTTCGGCTCCGGACCGTCTTGGAGCATCTTGGATCCTGCCGTTGTGATGTTCCAGCCTACTTCAGCCTCGACCACCAGATTGGAATCCACTGCCCCTCTGTTATGAGGCCGTTGTATAGGAGAGGGAACAGAGGACACAGTGTTTACACAGTTTTAAGGAATTAGTGAATTCAGCATGGGTCGGGCTTGAAGTGCCTCGAAGAAAGCACGCGCACCCGAATCGCAGACATATGGCTATATGCGGACCCGGGACACTTTGCTTCCCGTCGTCGTCCTCGCCCTTGCTCCGTTCCCCTTCCTTTCTTCCCTCCCCTGGATGGTGTCGAAAGCGTCCGCGGCTCGGGCGGGGGAGCGCCCCTTCCCACCTCCCTTATTATTCCTCGTTCCTCTTTGCCTCCTTGCTCCACCGTCCGTCGTCCTACCTCGTCCACCCTCCTTGTTCGAAAAGTGAAGTCCCTGGTGCCGCGTGCCCGCGTCAGCGGTAAATGCTTTTCCGGTATCCGCGCACAGCGGCGCAACCAAACAGAGGGGATTGCCAATGCGAGAGTTCGGGGCGCACCCAAAATTCGGGCGGCACGGCCGCCGAGCACAGTCGCATCGCTAACATGTAAATTATAGGTGCCTGCGGCAAGGTCCGCCCCCCTGCCAGAGCAGTGGTCTATATGGCGACGCGTGGAGCTTTGACTGTTAAGAGGTCCATGACATGTGACATCTCTCGTGTTTTCGGACTGCCGCGCGGCATTCTTTGGGGTCCTTCGAGGCCTTTTGGGGCGTCTTCGGGCCGTTGGGGGCCGCTTTGGCGCCGCGTTACACCGCGGCCGCCCTGGGCCAGGGAAGCGTGTATTTGCGGTTCTCTCCGGGGCGCCCTGGGCCGGGGAAGTGTGTATTTGCAGTCCCCCCCAGCTGGGCATGTCAACCTCGGTTCTGGGCCGGCAAAGTCGGGGCGCCCTCAAGGTGGCGAGCGTTTACCTTTTCGAAATACACAGATCAAGGTGTGATCTGTGTACACAGTTTGTGTCTTCAACTGTGTATTTTCGTGTGTGGGCCGACTGTTTACACAGATCGTGGTGTGATCTGTGTAGACAGATCTCGTTCCCATCTGTGTATTTGGAGTGTGTCCCTCGCGGGTGGTGTTGAATGGGCGGGAACTTTCGCGTTTCTCTTCCGGCTGGTCCAGGGGGGCGTCGTGCGCGGTCGAAATACACAGTTCGTGTCTCCAACTGTGCATTTGTTGCGCTCCGTTCGCTGGAGTGGTCTCTGGGCGGGAGTTTCCGCGGGTCTCCCGGCTGGTCCAGGAGGGGGCCGTGGTCTGGGCATGCAAAGGCGCGGGGGGGGTGGAGATGGTGGGCTGTGGGAAGGAAGGGGTTCGATAGGAGGGGTGGCCGAGGGGCCAAGGATGAACGGGACTGGACGAGAGCGGAAGAAATGAGCCCAGGAGGATGTGGATCATCGGTGTCAGCATCGCGAGGGCGAGGGAGGTGGGGGAGGCAGAAGTTGGGGGCATGATGTGCACTAGGGCGTAGAGGATGGAGGAGGGCAGGCATGTGGACGATGGGGGAACGAATCCGGCGCAGGAAGACGACGAGGAACGACGTGAATTGGCACATGGGGGGTGAGCAATGTGGATGAAGGGCACGATGAGGACCGGGGCGTTCGGAGGGGCATGAGGAGGGTGGGGCCACAGCGAAAGGATATTTGGAAGAGGCGGGGGGTGGGGCATGAGTTCGAGGCGGGCGCCAGCTAACGATTAGCTGAACAGTGTTTTGCGTGTCCGTGCGCCCCCAGAACACAGTGACTTGTTGCAGAACTTCATGATATGGGTAATCGTGCGCTTCGTGCTTCAAGGCCAAAGGTTCGAGTCCGCGACGCCCCATGGCGTCGCGATGATGCCGCCCCGATTTGCCAGACCGCAGATGCGCAGATACGCAGAATATGTGTTGCAACGTTTGTGTCATGACCCTCTCTATACTAACAGACCCACGTTGGAATCCAACCACCAGAACGCATTGCGAGCGCCAGAAAAGTACCAACAAACACTAAGATTTTCACGTGTCGGGCCCTGGGAGGCGCTCGCCCGACACCGTCTCGACACTCTTTTGACACTTGTCCGGGTGCTCGAAATTCTTTTTGGGATGTGGTCCTTAAGTAGGATGGGAACGGCGACGCGGCGAGCGTTACAGTCGGGGCGCTGAAGAAGGAACCCTTCTCGTTGGCGAGGGGCTCGGTGTTCCTTGATTGCTTTGCAGTTCGCGTGGGGTTTCCATGGGCAATCGAAGTTTAACTTATGGGAAAAAGGGGCCTCATTCCTTATTAGGGTTCCTTAGGTCAAAGCCCCGACTGTATCGCTCGCCGTGCCCCGTGGGTGCACTGCTGCATGTGAGCGGCCGCCGCGGGCTTTGCTGGTTGCTGCCATTTGAGGCCCTCCGTTGTGAGCAGGCGGGCAGGGGATGCACGGCCCTGCCTTTGGCCAGGCCCCCTTCTGAGACGGATCTGTCCGATGCGCCGGAAGGCCAGCACAGCACCCAGGCCGCCCGACGCCACTCTGGACCGTCCTGAAGCATCTCGGACCTTCCCGAGACGAGATCCGTGGGGGAAAACAAGCGCACACGTGTTTTGTTTGTGTTGTTTGTGTTTTGTTGTGTTGTTTGTGTTGTTTGTGTGTGTGTGTTTTTGTGTTGCTTGTTGTGTTTGTTTTCCCACAGTGTGTGCTTCCCCCCCCCCCACACACACAGTGTGTGTTTTTTCCCCACAGACTCTGTGTATGTTTTTTTGTTGTGTGTGTGTGTTTTTCGCACGACGCCGACCAGGGCACGCACCATATGGACGTCCGAGCGCGAGGGCGCGACTCTCCGGTCGGCGGCGGGCCCGGCCTGGGGGGGAGGTGGGCACGGGCGGACCTGTTCGGAAGGCTCGGCAGCCCCCCGGCCTTCTTGAGAAGTTCTCCGCTGCCTCCCCCGAATGCCCAGAAGGCAGGGGCTCCCACGAGGGCGCGAAGTTATTCGCGCTTCGCGCTTTGCGGTCCTCGTTCCTTCTCCCCCTCCTCCTCGTCCTCCTCTTTTCCCTTTGGGGGGGCGGCGCGAGAGCGCGAAGTTATTCGCGCTTCGCGGAGCGCGAAGCGCGAAGTTGGGAGCCCTAGGAAGGCCTCTCCGAAGGCCGCAGGCCCTCTGAGAAGCCCCCCACCGCCCTCTCAGAGCGCCTCCTCTCGTTCTCCCTTCCCCCCCTCGCTCAGCCTCGCTCACGGCCGAACAGGTCCGAGGCGGGGATTTCTCCACAACCACCGCCTGGGGGATCAAGTTTTGGAGACCTCGGCAGGCCCCGGATATGGATACATTCTGGCCCCCGGGGGCCCAAATATATCCATATCCACCGCCAACTGGGGCACCAGGATGTCGGTTTCCAGACGGTGGATATATGGATAAATCCCCGCCTCGCAGCAGGGCAGCCTCGCACAGATGCGGCTGACGGTCATGGCGGCGGGGCACGCGGACGGGGTGCTGGCGGCCTACCACCGGCTGCCAGAGGACGCCCGGGACGTCCTCGACGCGGAGCTGGCCAGGCCCGGCTGTCAGGGCCAGCGGTACACCCTCGAGGAGCGGAGGGAAGAGCCCAGGCCGCCCAAACTCTGGATTTAAGTCTGATGGGCATGTCTTCCACCACCACCACCACCGTAAGTTGGAGGGGGGAAGGAGGTGGAGAACGAGGAGGAGGAGGAGGAGGACCAGGAGGAGAAGGAGGAGGAAGAGGAAGAGGACTCCCTCCCCCTATAACTTAGGGTGGTGGTGGTGGTGGAAAACAAGCCCATCAAAGTTGGGCCTGTCCCTCTACATGAGGGATATTCAAAAATAGTCAAGAAATAGTCTGGGGACGATTGTCTGACTAACTATTTCTGCACATGTTGGGGGGTAGTTTGACTATTTGTTTTATTTTTCGTCCAGAATCCGCCTGTAGGGGGACATGCCCGACCTAACTCTGGAGGGGGTGGGGGAAGCAAACACCACACACACAGACACAAAGAAGCGTCGATTCCAAGGAGAATACGGAAAACATGGTAAGTGGAAGGGAAGACGAGCATCCAGGGAATGTGGAAAGCAAGGGGAGTCCTGGGATTTGTATATGTTTATTGCGAAGGCCTGACGGCCGGTGCCGCCGACCCTGTTCGCAATGCGCCGCAAGAGATTACGAGGTTGCTCAAGGTCGGCTTGGCTGGAGCCCAGGGGAAGAGGAGTCCCAGGGGGGGGCGTCGTATCTGACCCGGGGGGGGGGTCGCTACCCCCCCCCCCCCCCGGGGGAGGGATCAAAGGGAAGGGGCTTCCCTTCGACTCAATTACGAGGTTGCTCAAGGTCGGCTTGGCTGGAGCCCAGGGGAAGAGGAGTCCCAGGGGGGGGGTCGTATCTGACCCGGGGGGGGGTCGACACCCCCCCCCCCTCCCGGCGGGGGAGGGATCAAAGGGAAGGGGCTTCCCTTCGACTCATTACGAGGTTGCTCAAGGTCGGCTTGGCTGGAGCCCAGGGGAAGAGGAGTCCCAGGGGGGGGCGTCGTATCTGACCCGGGGGGGGGGTCGACCCCCCCCCCCCTCCCGGCGGGGGAGGGATCAAAGGGAAGGGGCTTCCCTTCGACTCAATTACGAGGTTGCTCAAGGTCGGCTTGGCTGGAGCCCAGGGGAAGAGGAGTCCCAGGGGGGGGCGTCGTATCTGACCCGGGGGGGGGGTCGACACCCCCCCCCCCCTCCCGGCGGGGGAGGGATCAAAGGGAAGGGGCTTCCCTTCGACTCAATTACGATGCTACGAGGTTGCTCAAGGTCGGCTTGGCTGGAGCCCAGGGGAAGAGGAGTCCCAGGGGGGGCGTCGTATCTGACCCGGGGGGGGGGTCGCTACCCCCCCCCCCCTCCCGGCGGGGGAGGGATCAAAGGGAAGGGGCTTCCCTTCGACTCAATTACGAGGTTGCTCAAGGTCGGCTTGGCTGGAGCCCAGGGGAAGAGGAGTCCCAGGGGGGGGCGTCGTATCTGACCCGGGGGGGGGGTCGCTACCCCCCCCCCCCTCCCGGCGGGGGAGGGATCAAAGGGAAGGGGCTTCCCTTCGACTCAATTACGAGGTTGCTCAAGGTCGGCTTGGCTGGAGCCCAGGGGTTGCTCAAGGTCGGCTTGGCTGGAGCCCAGGGGAAGAGGAGTCCCAGGGGGGGGCGTCGTATCTGACCCGGGGGGGGGGTCGCTACCCCCCCCCCCCCCCTCCCGGCGGGGGAGGGATCAAAGGGAAGGGGCTTCCCTTCGACTCAATTACGAGGTTGCTCAAGGTCGGCTTGGCTGGAGCCCAGGGGAAGAGGAGTCCCAGGGGGGGGCGTCGTATCTGACCCGGGGGGGGGGTCGACACCCCCCCCCCCTCCCGGCGGGGGAGGGATCAAAGGGAAGGGGCTTCCCTTCGACTCAATTACGAGGTTGCTCAAGGTCGGCTTGGCTGGAGCCCAGGGGAAGAGGAGGGGAGGAGTCGGCGGGGGAGGGATCAAAGGGAAGGGGCTTCCCTTCGGGTTGCTCAAGGTCGGCTTGGCTGAGTCCCAGGGGGGGGCGTCGTATCTGACCGGGGGGGGGGTCGACCCCCCCCCCCCTCCCGGCGGGGGAGGGATCAAAGGGAAGGGGCTTCCCTTCGACTCAATTACGAGGTTGCTCAAGGTCGGCTTGGCTGGAGCCCAGGGGAAGAGGTCTCCCAGGGAAAGGGAAGGACAGAGACGACGAGTACAAAGAATGACGGAGATGACGGCTCGAACGGAAAAGCCCCTCACACACGCCGACAGGGTCGGCGGATTTGTGTGTCCCTGGGCCCCTTCACAAATTGGGTCGGAGTAGATGGGTTCGGTGGATCGCGCCGCATCGCCCATGCATCGCCCATGCTCGGCCACGTGCAGAGGGGTGAGATTTAGGGGGGAGGGGGGAAGTCTTCACCCCTGCTTCTCACACAGCGCGGGCCTTGTCTGTAGATGTGTAGGGCGGGCGCCTTCTAAGAAGTAACCTCCTCGTAAGGTTCCTGAGGGAACCCGGTCCTGAGGGGAACGGGTCCGGAGGGGGACGGGAACCTCCACGGGCCCCAGGACTGTCAGAAAACGACTCAGCATGAAAAACTCGTCCAGGGGGGAGGCCTCAGGGTCCAGGACGCGTTTCCCTCAGGACCCTTTTTCCCCCATAGTAGATGGGTTCGGTAGATCGTGCCGCATTGCCGGTGCATCGCTGGTGCGGCTCGCTGCGGGGCCTTAATTTCTCCACGCCGGCTTCGCCGATCCATCGCCGACGCCGCCGATGCATCGCCAATGCGTCGCCGATGCATGGGCGATGCGGCGCGATCCCCCGACCCCGTCTACAGTCGGGAACCCTTTCGGTTGGGGAGGGGCTCGGTGTTCCTTAAGTGTTTCACAGCTTGCCTCAGGCTTTCCTTATGTTTTCGACAGGAAATCGAAGGTCAACTTATGGAAAAAAGGGGCCTCGTTCCTTATTTGGGGTTCCTTAGGTCAACGCCCCGACTGTACTCGGAACCCATGTGGGAGGTCTTTTGGCTACCCCCTCGAGGGGGAAGCGAGAAGCGAGCACAGGCAGAGGCTCTCTCTCTCTATCGGAGGGTCGCGCGTGGGGCGCGAGGCCCTGGCGCTTCGCACTTCCGTCACATGCAGGCCGGTCGTTGAAAGCAGGAGGAGGAGGAGGAGGAGGAGGAGGAGGAGGAGGAGGAGGAGGAGGAGGAGGAGAGGAGGAGGAGGTACTTCTGAATTCCCAGATCCAGAAATACCTACCCGCTGGTCGTTGAAAGCAGGAGGAGGAGGACGCGGAGAGGAGGAGGAGGAGGAGGAGGAGGAGAAGGAGGAGCAGGAGGAGGAGGAGGAGGAGGAGGTACTTCTGAATTTCGAATTCCCAGATCCAGGAATACCTACCCGCTGGTCGTTGAAAGTTGGCTCAAGCGTCGGCTCGAGAGGGGCGTTGCAAGCGAGTCCAGCGCCAGTTTCGCGGACTCCTGGCTGGGCCGATTGCCTGTCTGTCACGCTGCGCAGACACGCGCAGCAACACAGCACGAGAGATCATCATCTGATCATCATCATCATCATCGTCATCATCATCATCAACATCAGAAGAAGAAGGACCCGAAGATAGTGGACACGACCGAACTCGACGACGAACTGATGGACGTGTGGGCCATACAGAAGTACTTTCCAGTCGTGATGAACCTCATCTTGACATAGCGCTGCGACAGAGCCAACTGGAGGCGATCGAATTGAAGACGTTCGTCATGTCAGCATGCGTCCAAGTGGCAGTGAAGGCGCGGGCTCGAGTTAAAGCTTGGGTGAAGGCGGCCGAAGGACACCGCTCGACACTCCCGAATACCGACGCGGACAGGAATATCCAAGAGTTGGGCACGATCTCGGTGGCTTGCTACGCGGGGGTGTTCGAAGGCCTTGTGGCAGAAGGCGCAACAGTAGGCAGATTCATCCAGCAGCACCTAGAGGAGCTCGGCAAGCAACACAACACGGCGACGACGCAGGAGATGGCCGAGCCCGTCCCGCTGGCGAATATGACGGACTGCCACAAGGAGGGCAAGGTGAAGTTGGTGTTGAGCTTCTTCACGCGGCTCCACATGGGGCTTGTTTTCGCGTCCGTGGTGCCGATTGGCGCAGACTACAAGAAGGGCGCCGCTCCGATGGGGCACCTGGAGAGGCTGGTACACACAGGCTTTCACGAGCTCGAGAGCATGATGGAGGATTAGATCGGCCCCAGGGTACGCCAGAGGATAAGAAGAGGATAACAGAGTAGTTTGCGAGAAGCCTGAGCCTAGCCGCTAGTAAGCCGACCCTCGAACCCCCCACTCATCCCCCCCTCAAGCCTCCGTTCTCCAGGCCTCGCGTCTCCTTCCCTTCTTCCCCTCAGCAACACGAGCCAAACCGCTGAGGTGCCGGTTGCCTCCCCTGCTCGCTCTAGGACTCTCGCTCCCACCTCTGCTCAGCAGTTCAGAGGTGTGACTCAGTCTTTGGTAGAAGGCCAGGTCGCGGGTGGAGCGCCTCGAATGCGCCGTCCTGCGAGCGATGGTTTTTGTGGACAGGCAGGGCGGAAATATTTCCGATGCTGTAGGGGCCGCAGTCCCGTGGTTGGTCCCGGCGAGCCCCTTGAATTCCAGTAGTGATCAGGAGTGCTGGGAGGCGGGTGGTGGGAGGCGTTCTTTCAGCACTCAAGGGTTTTCTGCGCGGTGGAACGGCGTTGAGACGAATGCGGCTCTTCGTCTTCTGGGGGCATCGCGACAGCAGAGGGGCTCTCCTCGACTGTGAGACGCGAAGGTGCCTGGCCATGCATCGCAAACTGCGGCTCGGGTGCAGCCCGATCATAGAGGCTATCGTTGGGTGGGATTCATGCTTGCCCCCGTGGGTTCTGATGTGGTCGTTATCGTGATCATCACCATCATCAACGACAATCAGTCATGATCACCGTCATCAGCATCAACGCCATCATCGCCAGCATTGCCGTCGCCATCATCAGCACGAGCATGAACATCAACAGTGTCATCACAACCACAATCAACACTACCATCGCCACCACCATCATTACCGACATCGTTATCATAGTCATCGTC